AGGAAAGGAAAGGAAAGGAAAGGAAAGGAAAGGAAAGGAAAGGAAAGGAAAGGAAAGGAAAAGGATAAGGAAAAAAAAATGTTGCCTTAGTCTCTGTTTCAGATTTGCTTGTTCCTGAGTATCTGGGGCCAGGCAGGCTTGCTCCTACAAGCACAGGTTCTCAACATGCGCTCCCCAGACAGCCCTGGCGTCCCCAGGGGACCTGTCAGAGATGCCCTCGCCTGCTCTCACCCACACGTGCTGAACCAGAAGCCAGGGCCAGGGCTCAGTGACCTGTGCTCTGATTCATTCTCCCGGTGGCTCTGGTGCACACTCCATGCAGGCTCCACTGCCCTACTCAGTGGCTTAAGACCCCACCTCACCCACACCTAGCACATCCTCAGCCTCCCCCAGGCACTGAGTGTCATGCTGAGATATAACCTAGTTGCCCCTCCTACAAGAACACCAACCAACTTCACAGCTCGTAAAAGTTCTCCTAATTCTTTCTCCACCTTAAATCCAGGGCCAGTGCTTCTGCATGCAGCCCAGGCCAGCCTAGGCCCTCTCTGAGACTTTAGCCATTTCAGGACCCTTGAATCCCTGACAGGCCTGGGGCAGGTGACTCTGCAGTCCATTCACAGTTTGGCATCTCTGAAGGGGCATCTCTGGGTGCTTCAGACAGCAGGGCTGAGATGGTCCCCAGGGACACGTGGGGCCCTACCTGCCCAAAGTTCCAAGGTATGCTCTTGATGAACTTGGCCGAGCCCTGGTAGATGAAGCCCTGCTGGGTGAGCACGTACTCCTGCCGCTCCTGGTCTGAGTTCACATAGACGGCATCCGCTATGGGCAGAAGAGGGCGTGGCTGTTAACTTCAAACCTAGCGAGGCCTGGCCCCCCTGCAAGGATGGCAGCTGGGGTGCCAACTCCCCAGGCAGGACAGCACCTCAGAGGCCCTTCAACCTTTGAATCAGAAAAATTAATCATTAATTATTAACCTCCAGTGGAGGAGCTAAGATGTTATCAGTTAGTGACAACCAAGACTGCCATTTATCCCACACTTGGTGCCAGGACCTGCCATAAATGGATGACATGTAATTCATTTACTCTCCCTAAGAGGCCTATAAGGAAGGGGCTTTTGAAAGCCTCTTTTTAAAGATGGAAAAACTGAGGCTCAAGAATGTTTCACAGGGGCTGGTAAGATAGCTCAGCGGTCAAAAGCACCTGCTTAGGCAGGTTTAGGCAAGCACAGCGACCACAGTTCAATCCCCGGCACCACATGCCACACCCGCCCTGTCCCCAGGGTGGGCTGAGCTGGCCACAGAGTCCAGGAATAGTGGCACACACCTATAATCCCAGCACTAGGGAGGCTGAAAGCAGGAGGATCACTCTGAGTCCGAGCTATGTAGTGAGACCCTGTTATGGCAAAATACATTTTTTTTTAAAAAAAATAATATTTCACAACTAGGAAAGCTGATGCTAAATAAGAGATTGAGGATCACTGAACTAGGAAGCAAGAAATCCTTCCTCGGGACCTCGTTAGGTGTATGATCCTCTGCAGGTCGCCTCGCCTCCCCACCCACTTCTGCACCTTGCTGAAGGAGCCTGAGCGTGAAATGTTGTCACTGAAGTGAAAGATGCTTTGGAGACAAAAACCCGGAGGCATGAAGGAGCGTGACTGGTGGTGGAGAGAGAAGAGGCACAGGCTGGGCAGCCGAGAAAGCACCACAGGGCTTGGGGACGTGGGCTCTGTCCAACCTGGGGCAAGGAGGACACCCTGGAGGAGGGGGCACTCGCTGCCCCGAGACTTGACCAAGGTTTCCCTGGGGCCTGGCTGGTGGCATTCTAGGCAGCAGACCAGAGGGACCAAGGTTTGGCCATTGGAAAATGTGCGGGGCCAACAAAGGAGCAAAGGGGGTGGAGGAAAGTGAGGCAGGAGCCTGAAAGGCAGGCTGACTTTGGGATGTTCACCTCACAGACAGGGAAACTGAGGCTGGGCCAGGAAACCTGGAGCCACAAGGGACTGCGGGGGGCCCTGGGCATCTCTCCTTCATGGATTCTTTCCACCATAAAATAAATCTTAACATTATATGGTGAAACATACAGCTTAACTTAAATGTCCATGTTTTTCCTCTGGTTTTAAAAACGCTAAAACACTCTCGGAGCTGAGGCAGGAAGACTGCCTGCCAGTTTGAGCCTCATGGGGGTAACTTAGTGACGGAGTGAGAGCCTGTCTCAAACATTAAAGGAAAGAGCGGTGGGTGCAGCTTGGTACAAAAGCCCTGAGTGCCATCAATCCCCAGGGATGCAATCAATCAACTGATCAATAAAATAATACATCTGCCTGGGGGAGAGAAGTATGGCAGCCCCAGGCCTCGGGGCCACTGTGCCCCCTGGAGAAGTCAGCCCAGGAAAACGGGCCCAGTTTGGGCCTGGAGGGTGATGGCCAGACCTAAGGGCTCCATCTGGCCACAGCACCACTGCTTTCACTTTTGTCACAGCAAGAAGAGCCACTGTGACCCTGGCCAGATTGTGTGTGCTGCTCTTGGGCTACATCAACGCTCAGTGAAGTTCCCAGTCCACTGGATGGGCTGCATGGTGGTGCGCCAGCAGGCAGAGAGGTGAAAGGAGAATGCCAACTCCAGCAATGCCACCCTGCAGCATGGCTCAGCATGGCTCAGGTGCAAGGGAGCCCGACTGTGGTGTCCCTTGCTCAGATCTCTGTCTAGTGAAAGTGGGGGCCCAAGAACATGAAGCCTCACCCCAAACTGGCAGAAGACCCTGTGCGCCTAGCAGCTGAGGGTCCAGAGGGTCCCTTTCGCAGGCATTTTCCATCCTTTCCCACATCCAGAGCAATTTCCTCTTTGGCCCCAACCCCCACCAGAGTCTAACTTCCTGCCTCCCTAAGAACCCTGCCCTGAGCTATGGATCACCTCAGTCTGGTGCTGCTTGGCTGGCAGCCGCATGGCAGCCAAGGAAGAGCAGGAGGGAAAAGGATATCCCCACCCCCAGCTTCACTCCCGGTTCCCTGAACCTCTGAACCCTGGGATACTGGCCAGGATGGGAATAGGCTTTTCCCTGCTTCAGGTGTAAGGCTATCCACTAGTTGCAACACCCTGAAGATTGATTAAAATCCCCCCAAAGCTACAGTAGACCTCAGCTAGGTCTTTTGTTTGCCAATAAATGGTTCCACAGGGCCACTGGCCATGTGAGCAAGGGTGCTTGTTGCAACAGCTTAGCCCAGTGAACCCTCAGGGATGATCTCATGGCCATTGTGGGGCATAGGACAGAGGAACTGTCCTCCCAGGCAGCATTCAATGCCTTCCAGCTCTTAGGAAGAATGCGGTCAGGCCTGGTGGTGCATATCTATAATACCAGCACTCTAGGACGCTGAAGCATGAGGACCACAAGTTTGAACGCAGCTTGGGAAACCTAGGAAGATCCTGCCTCAAAATGAAACAAACTAAAAAGGTCTGGGGATGTAGCTCAGTGTGAAGGCCCTGGGTTCAGTCTCTAACATTGCAAAACCAAAATGAGAGAGAGCAAAATACACAAAGGTGTCAGGCCAAGTGTGGACAGAGCCTTAAGACATGGAGAATCAACCAGGTTGGGTCAGCACGTTGTGGGCTCCTTTATGTTTGAGACACACCCACCAAATCAGCGATGGATATATAGCAGGTAAGACCCCAAGATAGCAAAGAGTGGGGCCTTCCAATGAGTGTCCCCCAAGAACAGCAGTGGTGTTCTTTCCCTGCAGTGCTTGAAGCTTTTTATACAAAGGGTGTTCTGGCGCCTTAGAGTTACAATCAGAAATAAAAGCCAAAATAAGCAAAAGAGAAAATAAAAGTGCCTCCAGGTCAAACATGTTATGAATAGCTCAAAACAAAGATCAAGAATCAAGCTGGGCCAGCAAGTAGGTGGTTGAGGGGGGGCACTTTCTGCCCCAGGGCCCAGGCCCATGCCCACCAAGATACCTTCTCTGCAGTGATGTGTTAGAACAGGCAGGAAGCAGGCATTGGTTCCAGTTACCTTCTTAGTCATAAGGGGACAGTGAGGCACTGGGAGTAGGGACTTCCTAGATCCCACCTCCTCGCCACTGTTCAGATCACCAGGACTCCTGCACGCTGTCCCCTGGCCCTCCAGTGTGCTCCAGCATGGTGCACTTCCTTAGTGAAAGGGTTTCCGAAGCCACTCCCTTCTCCAAGGCCCCATTTCCTGTCTTAGCAAGGACAGCTAAGTCTGCCCTTGAGATCTTGGAGAAGAGCCATTGAGGTGTGTATGGAAGGAGGCCACTAGGGGTCAAGCTGCTCTTACCTCACATGGTGCGCTTGCCCCCACCTCCCTCACTTTCCCCTACCCAAGCCAGCCTGGGTGGGTTGAAGACAGAGCCTTGTGACATGGATGAGGACCTGGAATCCTAACTCTGAGCCTCAGCTGGGGACTCCATTCCTGACGTGGGATTCTGAAACCGAGATGCTGATATGCCCTGGTGCTGTCTCTTGGTTCATGGGTGGGAGCCTTAATCCCCAGGGCACTAGTATTAGGCCACATGAGGGGCAGTGAGTGAGCTCATGCCGTCAGCATGGGACGAGGTCAGGCAGTGCAAGAGTGAAATTGTTGCAAAGGGGTTTGGCCCTTCACAAGTGCCTTCTCACCTGGTGATGCCTCCCTCTGAACTATGATATGGCAGAAAGGCACTCAGCAGATTTGGTCCCTCCATCTGGGGCTTTCCACTGTCTCAAACCATCTGCCAAATAAACTGTTTATAAATCTCCCAGTCTGATGGCAGAAGAGAATAGGCTGAGGCCCGGCTCGTGGTACCTTGGACACACGGGCTTCAGCCACGGTTAAGGTCCTTTGGACCTGGCTGCCCTCGGCTAAGTTGTTTGCTCCCATGAGTCTGCTCCTTGTCCATAGGTGGAGAAACTGAGCATCCACACTGGGAGGCTGGAGCACAGGGCTGGCATGGTGGCCTCACCCACCCTGACTCTTCTTCTGCCCTGTCCCTCCTCTGCCAGGCCCTTGGGGAAGGAGTGTGGCTCACCTGGGCACCAGGCGTTGAAGAGCAGGGTGAAGTGGCCCAGGGAGAAGCTGGAGCCCTGGTAGCCAGTGGAGGTTTCCAGGCTGAGGTGGTACAAGCCGATGGGGGCATTAGCTGGAGTGCTGAGCAGCAGTGAGAGGGAGCTGTCCTGCTGGTCCACTGCTGAGGCTGACCAGGCTCCGCTCTCCACAGCGCCAGACAGTGAGAAGTGGGCCATGGTCCCGGCCTCCTCGCTGGGGGCTGGGCCTGTGCAGGAAGAACACAGCAGCTGTGAGCCGGGGGTGGGCAGCGCAAGCAGACACAGAGCACACATCTGGAGTCCCATCGCCGTGGTCAAGGATTGTTTCACCACTAACCACTGAAGGAAGTCTGGCAAGAGGTATCATCTCCCCAGAACCTTGGTTTCCTCATCTGCAAAATAGAAATCAGAACCCCAGCCTTGCAGGGTGGTTTTGTGGGAACCCATGAAAAGCCACAGACACACAACTAGAGAGTCCACAGGGGAGAGAGCACAGCACAGAGTCTTGGTCATCCAGATCTGCCCGTGGTGACTTTGGACAAGATCGCCATGGCCCTCAAGGTCAGGCTGCCTGTCTGCAGCTTGGGCAGAAATCAGGCAAGGTGCTGCCCAGGGTGAAAGCCTTTATCTGCCACTCCTGTACTCTCTTCCGGGACAGAAGCCTATACTCTGCCCCGAATGGGCATGGTCCTCACAGACTCCTGGCTATAAGCCAGCAGCCTCCTCAGGGACCCCTCCACCTGGGGACCCCTGGGTTCTAGAGACAGCCCTGGGATGGCAGGCATCCTCAGCCCTCACCTCACCATGGCCTCACCCACCACCTGGTGATGGGCTTTGTACTTCCTGCTTCCTCTGAGGCCGCCTGGGGAAAGGATGGGCGGCAAAGGTCCAGGCAGAAGAAAGCTCCCAAGAGTTCGCCGGGCTTATGCTAAAGTGAGCATTGGAGTGGGTCTGAGGATCTCGGGTTGCCTCTTCTTTCCAGAGGACAGTCCCTACAGGGTCTCAAAGGCACAGGGACTTGGGCAGCATCACTGCTCTCTAGGGTGGAGGAGGGGAGAGCACACACAGGCAGGTCTGAGTCACAGGCAGGGTGGGAAGCTGGTCACTTTCTGGACATGGGAGGCAGAGAGGAGAAACAGAGTAAGTTCTCTGCCCGCCTGGGCGGCTGCCTGGGACAGTTTATTTTTACTCCTCCGTCTCTGAGGCTGTAGTGCTGCCTACCCTCTGCAGACAATCTCTCCTGCTTACCACGAGGCTCCCCCCAAGCACTGACCTTCCTGTTAGCCTGCCAGCCCCACCTTTGCCCCCAGCCCAAATATATCCACACTGTCACAGACACGGTCCAGCCTCGGAGGCCTGGCCAGTGGCTGGGAGCCAAATGGGAGCCCTGAAAGGCTCCCTGACTTGCAGAGCTAGTGTGTGTGTGTGGGAGCCAGACCACCTTGAGGCTCAAGAGCCACCCTAAGGCTAGTTCCTACCTCTACCCATGAGTGCTGTGTGGGCTTGGCAGAGTCCCCGGACCTCTCTGATCCTCAGTCTTTTTCTCAAAGAAGAAAATGGGTTTAGAGCATGTGGCTGGAGAGATCCCATTCCAGCTCTGAAAAGGGACGCTCGTACCTTAGACAGCTTACTTAGCCTCTTGGTGCCATGGTTTTCTCTTCTGTAAAATGGGGCCAGCTATAGGACCGTCTCACAAGGCCGATGGGAGTGTTGATAAATGCTAGTGTATACTGTTGTCACCACGGCAACCTAGTGCTATGGGGAGGCCCAGGGCGAGCCAGCTCATGGTGGCTACCAGCAAATGTGTGCTGTCCTCAGGCTCATCCAAAGGGACCACCAAGCTGGGTGTGGTGAGGCATGCCTGAAACCCCAGTTCTCTGGGAGGCTGAGGCAGGAGGATCACAAGGTAGAGTCCAGCCTGGGAAACTTCATGAATTATGGAGACTCTCTCAAAAGAAAAAATGAAAAGGGCTGGAGATCTAGCTTAGTGTGAAGACCCAAGTTTCAATCCATTATGGCAAAAAATAAAATAAAATAGATCCATTAAGCATCTGGATGTTCAGGAGAGATTTAGAAGACTGGAATGAAATGGGAATATATTTTAGTTTAACTAACTGTACAGATGTGGAAACTGAGGCTAAGGCCCTTCAAGATAAGAAGGAAGGGGTGTCTTATCTTATCCCCTTTGATGTGTGTCAGTTTGCTGGGCCAGCCCTCTAGCTGAGGCCTGCAGTCCCAGCACAATCATGAATGGCACCCCTGTCGTTCTCAGAAATGTCCCTGTTTGTACAATCAATTATCTGGTGTCCATGGTAACTGGCCTGAGCTGGATCCCATGGCCACAGTCTCTGTTGACACAGTGCCCTTGGGGCAGAGGTGCTCAGACACACAGCCCTTTCTTGCAAGCCCTGAGGGGGTGAAGACAGGCTGTGCCCTGGCCTCTTAGCTGCTCCCAACAGCTGAGGTTTAACATGGTGCTCTTGGTGGGACCAGGTGATCCTGGGGACCTGGAGGCGGGGGTCCTGGCTGCATTCCATACCGTGGTGGTGTCTGGGTGGGGTGGCTGAGGCTTCTAGAATAAAGCTTTCCATTAAGCCTCCTATGGGTTCTCTTCTCTGTTTAGCCAGACCTCCACCTACCCCACCCACCCAGCTTGGGACGGCAGAACTTTACCCCTAACAAGAGTGGGTTTATCTAGTCTGACCTGCGCCCCGGAACAGAGCCTGTTTGGTCTCCAGTTATCTGGAGTTATCCAGTTATTGGGAACAGCCAAAGCCAAGCCACACACCCCCTTCACTAAGACACCCTGGCTAGCTTTCTGCCTTCTCTGGGCCTTAATTTCCCCACAGAGGCAGGACAAATTGATCACAAGCTAGAGTAATCTTAACACAGGAGCAGGGTCCCAGCCAGGGCCCAGGCTGGGCACTGACCCAAGCCAGGCCTGGAGGTGGGGACCCAGCTTCCTGCTATTGTCCTTTCCCCAGCTCACCAGGATCTTGGCCACTGGGATGATGAAGACACGGCTTCCCACAGGGGTCGTGGGAGTGACAGGGCGTGTGAGCTGTGGTCTGAGATAAATTGGAGACGAAAAAGCAGATTAGCTGCTGGGGTGGAGGTTGGCTGCCCCATTCCCAACCCTGAACCTGGGGCCTCAATTACCTACCACTGAGCTGCCCAGAAAAACAGAAAAAGAAAGGATGTTTTGAGAAGGAAGAAGGTGGGACGCCCTGGCCTGTCCCTGCTGGGTCCCCACCCACCCCCTTATTTCCTGGAGGTCCATGGGCGGGCACTTATGATGGGTGGTAAGTAAGAGTGCTTGCTGTGAGCTGGAGTGACAAAAGTCTCAACTCATGACAGGGGCAGGATTTGAGGCCCACTGTGTCCCTAACTCATCATGTGACTGAGGAAACTTGAGCTTTCTGAGCTGTGATTCCCTCACCTGTAAAAATGGGGGCTGTCCGGCTTCCACGCTGTGAGGATTGAGGCTGAGCATGCACACAGTAGGTGTCTCAGAGATGCAGTGGTGCCTTATCATCCCAGGCGTAACCATCAAAGGGTACCACACCCAGCCTTTAACTGTCAGGGCCCCAACCTCCCACCTGGCAGAAGGAGAAACTGAGGCTGGAAGACCAGAGACTTGCTGGGAGGCCCCAGGCTCTGTTAGAAAGAGCCACAGCATTCTGGCTTGGGGAGGGCCCTCGGTAGTGGTGTGTCTGCTGAGCCGGTGGGGAGGACCCCCCCGGAAGGGATATCCTGGCCGCCTGCAGGCTCCATGATAAGCCTTATCTAACAGCCTCTCAGGTAAATAAGCCTTACCAGGCCGGTATAGCTCTAGCCTGCTGTTCTCTCTGCCCCTAAAGTCCTTGGACAGAGCTGGCCCTTCAGAGATGCCGGCCAGAGTCCCAGCCAGGCGGCCCTGTCCTGACCCCAAGGGAGCGGCTTCCACGAGATGCCAGACTAACTGATCTGGCATTCAAGGCCTCTTTCCTAGGAACAATCAACAAAAGAAAAATGGGTCCTGGGCATCTGAGGATAATTTGGATGGGCCTAAATGTTCCTCCCCCGGTCTCTGGACACGTTGGACCAAGATTAGAAAGAACAACCAGCGTTACAACCTTCTCCTTTAGCTTTCTCCCTTAGCCAGCTGTAAATGCTGCTCAGATGATGAAGCTCAGGGTCAGAGAGGCTAAGTGACTTGACCAATGTCACACAGCATGTAGGAAGACCAGACTACTAAGGGGTTCAGGTTGGTGGGACAATCTCCATCAACCACACCTGATTTAGGCCCGATCTTAGAGGCCTGGTGGGCTTGTTTGAATTATAGAAAGCAGTTGATAAGAGACTGGAAAATTGTTTTAATGAAGAAGGTAGTAGAGAAAATCCTGTGGAGGTTGGTGACAGAAAGCTTCCCCCAAGGCTGGTGATCACAGCTTCTCCAGAGCCCAGGTGTTCTTGTTTACGAGGTTGGGTGGCCTGGGTGGCATTTCACACTTCACCTTCTAAGCCTCAGTTTCCTCGTCTGTAAAGTGGGGCAATGACACCTGGGAATCTCCCAAGGTTCAAAGAGGTGTGAAGTCATTTGCCCTGGCTCCAGCAGGGCACAGGGGACTGAATCCCAGGACAGTCAGTAGAAGGAGAGGAGGAGGATGACTCACCTGTTGACGCATTGAAGGTGAGAGTGTCCACACTGGACTCGTAGCCACGGCCCTCAAAGTGCAGTGTCAACCAGAAGGGCTGGCCCCGCCGCAATACCAGCTTCTCCCGGCACAGGTCGGCCGTGCGGTGGTCACGGCCATTGACCTCCAGCTGCAAGTCACATCTCTCCAGGACCAGCTCTGTGGAGATGGGGACAGCAGGAGACTCGTGAATAGTGGCAGCATCTCTCCGTGGGCTGAGATGCCCAGTGACACACCTGTGCACCCAGACATGGGAGCAACCTCACCTGGATGGGGTCGGCAGGTGATGGGTGGCAACTGTCTCTCCACTGCCCCTGCAGACCTCCCACCCACCCGTGGACACACAATGACCAGCTGGTCTGCAGCGACCTAACTTCCTTAAGCATACAGTGTGCCCTCAGTAGACCACTGGGAGAAGCTCTGCCAACTCCCAGCGGAGTGGCCTCCAGCAGCTCAGCTATTCTGTGCCTCAGTTTCCTCACCTGTCCCCAAGGTGGGGCACAACAGGATCCACCTCAGAGGGCAGCTGTTGTGAGCGTGAAAGGAACCAGTGCATGTGGCAACCAGCTCAGAGCATGGTACTGCACAGCTGGAGCTCACCCACAGCTTGGGGGGCGGGAGAGCTGGGGGATTCAGTTGGGAAATATGCAGTATAGAATTACACGGGCGTAACTGAAGCTGAGTCCAACTTTCGATTTACTGGCAATAGGCAGGACTGGGGATTCTCTTAAACAAAACACCAGGAAAGAGTCAACAAAATTCATACTCTGGGTAACTATAGACAAAGGATTAATAGGTTTCTTTTTTTCTTTTCTTTTTTTTTAAAGTAGCAATTGAAAGGGAATTCTTTAAAGAGAAGTTGAAGAGACACTGCAACCCATTGATGGGTGGCTTTTACTAGGATCTTGATTTTGCCATACTAGTCAGGAACATTCAGTACATGTCTGATAAAGCAGGAGATTTACACAGTGATGACAAATCAAAGAATTTTCTTATCTTGTTTATATTTACAAAAGAACTTTATTCTTTAGAGACTTACATTGAAATATTTACAAATTCTGGGATTTGTTCCTAATAATAGGGAGGGGTCGGAGGCAGGAGCCATCATGGATCAGAAATGCTCAGGACTGGGTGATGTGAACATAGGGGTTATTATACTAGTCTCTCCACGCTTTTGTACATTTATATTCCCCATTTTTAAAAAAGTTGAGAGTGCAGGGGCGGGGGGGGGTTCAATCCCCAGGCCTGCCATGCTGACCCCACCCCTGAGGCGCGCTGAGATGGGGATTGAGACTGGGTGTGGTGGTGCACCCCTGTAAAACTAGCACTTGGGAGGCTGTAAACAGGTGGGTCACTGTGATCTAGTAGTGAGACCCTGAACACCCTGTAGACCCTTCCCTAAAATACAATTTTAAAAAGGTAAAATAAATAAAATAAAAAATAAGGAAAGTTGAGAAATGACAGCAGTTTTGGTGTCTTCTAGGTTTTCGTTCTGTCGTGCTGCCATGTGGCCCCGCACAAGTGCTTCTCCCTGCCTGCGCCTGCTTCTTCACAGCCTCCAAAGGCTGCTGCGAGTCTAGGAGAGAAAGTCTAACCCAATCCAGGGCAGGCTTCAGGCCAGGCACTAAGGAATGGGGCTGGACCAAGGTGACGGGCAAATGAAGGCCGGAGAAAAGCACGAGGGGCATAACATTGACCAGCTTAAAACTGACTGGGGACCTTTGGGGGAGGGCAAGGCAGCCTCTCAGGGTTGCAAGGCCAGTGGAAGGCATGAGGCCCAACTGAGGCCAAGGGACAGGGATTCACCCAGGTGCCAGTAACTTGGTCCTTACAGTATGACACCATCAGATCTCCTGTCACCTACCTAAGGCATCTCCAAAGTGAGGGCTAAAGTGACCTGTGACAGCTAAAGGCTTCCCCATGGGCCACCTCAACTAAAACTGCACAGCGACTCTGCTTCCACAGCCTCTGCTGCTGTCCCTGTTTTGTCAAGGGAGATTCTGGGTGGCTGCAGGTCCCACAGCAGGTGGCTGCTTTGGGGCTTGACCAGGCTGCAGGATTCTACAGCTCAGGCTGCTTCTCCAGGGCCCCTCCCACCACCCACCCCTCCGATTTCTGGGTTGTTCTTGGCCTGAGAAGACACTATCCTGCATGTCCAAATCAGCAGGGATGTGGGCCTTCCTGCTGGCCTGAGGGGATGAAGAAGTGCCGGCTCTGAAAACCTCAACCCTAGAGCCTGGGGCAGAAAAGAGACCACTATTTCCCCAGCAGAACTTGATGATGGCCAGTCCCTGGTCTGGGGAGTTGGACTGCTTTCTCTACTGTCTAAAGAAAAGTCCACAGAAGTCATTTCAGCTCCAAAGGTGTAGAAGCAGGGTCCAGAAACCTTGCACCAATAGGACTTCTGCACTGACCAGGGGCCCAGGTCTTCTAAGCTAGTGGGACCCTGGGGGGAAGCAGCTGCTGTGCTGTTGGGCTGGGAGCTCATCGTAACTGGCACCTCCAGGGTCCCTCAGCCTCACTGAGCCCTGCTTCTGGGGACAGGGATGAGAGAGAAGCTGCACTGGGGCCATCGACTGCCGAGGAGGCATACTGCAGTGTGTGGGGAGCTGGTGCCGAGTAGGGGGTGGTCAAGATCACACCTCCCCAAGCCCCGACCTAGGGGCTGCAGCATAAGCAGAGGGTAGTCCCAAGCGGCCAGGGCCCAAGAGCCAGCTGGATGCTGGGTCCAGCTGTGTTGGTTCGGGAACATGTTCTAGCAAGGTCCCTCGCCCTGGGACCTCAGCAGTCTTGTCATTGGGGTGGAGGCTTGAAGATGGGGTGGAAGTGAATTAAGTATCTCTTCCATACTTTTGAGCCCTCCGGGGTATATCAGGACTTTTCACTACTGTCTGTAGCTTACAAGAGGGGAAACTGAGTTTTGGCAGGTGCTCAGGGCTGGGGTTACAGAATTTGAGGGCTGGAAGAGCCCAGAGAGAACATGTCTGGTCTTAGCCCCCTCCCACCAGGATGCTGGAGCCACGTTGACCTTGCCACACCCAGAGGCACATACATACCTTTACCAGCCAGTGGGGTCCACCCAAAGCCCGGTGTTCTGAGGCCAGGATAGCACCCCCAGAGCTTTAGACCCTGGGGCACCACCAGGGAGCCAGCTTCCACCAACCACGTGAGGCAGAGTGGCCCGCGCCAGGACAGTACTTTACAGTTTACTACATTCCATTTCCTCACCTGGGCCAGGGGGTAGGGCTAATCCTTATGTCCTGGGAGTGGGGAAAAGTGAGGTCTCCCGTAGCCCTAGCCTTGGAAGCCAGGTGTCCCCGCCCAACTCAGCCCAACTCAGCCCGGCCCACCTGTTGCTCTCCAAATCCTGGATTTAGGTTCAGCCCCAACGGGAGAACAGAACGGCAAGGGCGAGCCTGGCCAGGAGCGGCAGCACGGACTCTGACACTCACCCTCGGCCATGGTCGGGCCAAGTTCCTCGTCTCCTAGCGGCGGGTCCGGGAAGGTGGCGACTGAGCAGTGCAGACCACTGTTGCGCGGCTGGGACTTGGACTTATAGCCCTCTGGGGGACGGGCCTGGGCGGGGCCACGGGAAGGCGGGGCGGGCGAAGCCACCCGGGTCCTGTGCCCTGCACGCGCCCTGGGACCGAGCCCCAGGGAGGAGCCACAGGCAAGGTCGCCCCCTGGCGGGCCGAACGGAGCGCAAGTCTGGGACCGATGCACAAGGAAACAAAAGGGGCCCACACACTGCAGACCTCACAGTCCGATCTCAGGCAGCCTGGACACTGGGACACAGGAGCACTTAGGTCAGATACAAGTGGTTCCCGGGGCAGAAACACCACTGGCTCCTAGGTCCAAGGCATGAGATTGTCAGGTCCCATCCGAGACCAACACACACGATAAGAAACACACAAAAGGGGCCACAGACACAGAGACACAAGTGTACACAGGCACACTCCAAAAACGGCATACAGTTTGGACACAGCCACAGGGACAGGGACACAAAACCAGACTGGAATCTCTAAGATGCCCTATGATGTAGACACAGCCAAACACACAAACAGGCACCCACCAAGGGCCACACAACCTCAGACACAAGAGCAGGTGTCCAGATGCTGCAGCTCACGGACCCACCTGCAGATGTGACTCAGGTGCAGACACGCACAGGCTGCACACAGACACACCCATGCCTTCCCTGCAGAGAACCCGGCCATTGCCGCTGCCCGCTCTCTTGCTATTCATCGAATCTTCTGTCCTCCTGCCCTCCCATCTTCTCACCTACTCATCTGCCATCTCCTCGTTGGCCCTCCAGAGGCCCATTGTGTGCCAGAGAAGAGCAAAGCCAGCCTTCCAGAGACGAGGCTTCTGACCTCAGACCCTGGCAGCTCTGGTCCCCCAGCCTCCTTTGCTTCCTCACCCCCCATGAAGTGGAAGCAGGGAGGCTCCCCAGAGAGACAAAGGCCTGTGGGTTCTCCCCATCACCTTTTGTTTCTGAAACAAGTTTTACTTCCCAGATGGATTTGGGAGCAGAGTTGACCCCAGCCTCCGATCCTGAGTGATACCAGGTAGGGCACACACGCCTGCCTTGTTTTAGTGGGGTCTGTCTGGTCAGGCACATTCTGCTGGAGTCTCAGGAAGCAAACCCAAGGTGCAATGTGGGCCTTGCCAGCCTATGGAGGTGACCTTTTGTGCACCTTCTATCCCTGGAGCTGGTATGGAAGTTTCGAGGGCAGAGCTGTGAGTGACAGTCAGTCAGAAGCTGGGGTTCAAGTTCAGTTCTGCTCCTGACGGCTGTGTGGCTGTGGCAGGTATTTGAGCTGCATGGAACTCCATTTGCCCCTCTAAGAATGGAGGCAAGAATCCTTCCCTCACTGCCTGAGCAGAATGTGACCAAAATGCATGATGAACAGGCAGCATCTAGGGTCTCTGAGCCTTGACACAAAAGTCTGAAGTATCCCAGAACATGGCCCTGTGACAGAGGGACCTTGCAGAGACACACTGTGTTCCCTGCCTTTGGCCTGTGGAGTAAGGTGTAGAGAAGGTGCTCAAAAAATGCCTGTGACATGACAGGGAGGGATGAGTTAAGAGTTGAATGGAAAAACAGAAGGATGCAAAGAAAGGAAGAAGGTGAAGGTTCAGAAAGATTGGGCAAATTGCCTGAGGTTACACAGCATGACCAGTCCTGAGGATGAGGGCCCAGGCCAGAGGTGCCCGTGAGCAGCTGAAGTATGAAGGTGGGGTAGCCGTGAGTGGGGCTGTGACAGTGTATTTGGAAGTTGCCCCCTTTCTACCACCTGGTGTGTAATGAGGTGTGTGGCATCCGGCCTGAGGGAGCCTGGGGCAGGCAGCGTGGACATCCCTGAGTGAGGTGAGTCCAGAGAACAGGGGACTTGCTAAACATAGCAAGGGGAAGGTGAGACCTTTCAGGGCCTTTGAGAGGGTGGCTGCTCAGGACAGAAAGCTGGGTATCCCAGGCTTGGGGGCGAGAACAAGGTTCTGATCCAGGAGGCCTGCCAATGCGCCCGTTTATTGTGGTACTGGGGATGGAACACTGTACCTTTGCCTCTGGGATACATCCCAGACCTCTTTTATTTTAATGAGATTATTTTTAATGATATTAGGGTCTCATTAAATTCCCTAGACGAGGCTCTAAATTGGCATTCCTCCTGCCTCGGCCTCCCCAGGGCTGGGATTACAGGCGTGCCTCAGCAGGCCTTGGCCCATGGTGCTATCTGGCAGATGAAGAGACTGACCTGGTCATTTTGTTCTCAACAGTGCCCTGCAGTGTGTTCCTCTGGTGCAGTCAGCACCCCCACCCCCACCACCACCCTGCCCTTGCCCCTCCTGCTGGGCCCTCTACTCCTTTGCTCACTGCTCTGAAGCATCAGCTTTGGGGCCCTGAAAGTAGGGACCACAGTCCAGGTCTGCAGGTGAGGATGTGGCCCGGGGCATCCCAAGATACTGTCCCTGTGGAAGCCTTCAGGGTACAGCCAAGCTGGTGGCCTGGTACCTAAGACCCTGCAGAGCTGCTGCAATGCCTCCCAACCCTGCATTCAGACCTGCTGGCCTTGTAGATGCACTGTTTGTGGCCAGGTACACCTGCAACAGCCACCTCTGAGCCTGTGCGTGGGGCTACCTTCTGCCGGGATGCCCTCCCTGCTCCAGTCTCCATCTGCCAGGCTGGAACCCCCAAGAGCACCTCCCCAGTGCTTGCTAGAAAGCCTGTCCTCCCATTCCCCTGGGTCCACACCCACAGGACATTCCCAGTCTGCCTACCTCTCTGTCTTCCCCCACTCACCTGGCCCTCTATGGCTATCATGAACGTATGTTGAGTGAATAAGTGACCCATGGCAGATAGAGACAGAGAAGCAAAGAGAGGGAGGGAAAGAGGAGGAGGTGGTAAGGGAGTGGGAGGGGGAAAGAGGGAGAGAACCCATCTAAGCCCAAGCTTTGGGAGTAACCCCAGAGACAGATTTTTTGACAGATTTACGATGCCAGTTCGCCTGGTAGGACCAGGAGCCAGAACTTGGTTTAGGTGACAGAGGGGAAATGTTAGGTGTCAGGTATGCCAAGTCCATGTTCCCCAAAGTCAAAGAATGAATTCTAAGGAACAACAGAGGTTACCAGTAGGAAAACTTATTGCAAGAAAGGACTGGGAAATCGAAATAGTTCCTGAGTGAAGGGAGGGGCTTCAAATGGGTTGCCGATGAGCCCATTTCGCAAAGAAAGTTTTATTGAGAAAAATCATGAGGTGGGTACAACATGAGTCAAAATTATGACTAACCAAGAAGATTCCAAGGATAGTTCCATGGGTAATTATTGACCCAGCAGTAGCAAGAGTACATGGGTGACATCACTAACCTTGGTCGATAATCCAGAGTCTTGCCTTTAGTCTTAGTGGGTGGGAGAAGATGACCACCCCAATGAGCTAACAGGAAGTCTCAAAAGGGTGATACCAATCTTCTCAAACTTGTGCTCATCCCTCAAGGAAGCATGTAAATCTAGCCACTGTGACTTTAATCTTCGGATGTATCTCTAGCCACAGCCATGGTGCATTCTCATCTTCTGCACTGACTTCCTCAAGGGCCAAGCCCTGCCTGACTGCTGACTCTATTTCTACTTAACTCAGCTGTCTATAACCCTGGGACCTCTCAACCTTGCTGTCTCCGACAGAGATGAGCAATCTAGATCCAATATATACTCCCACTGTATCTCCCACAGTGCAGCATGAACACAAGGACAGGTCTGAAAGTCTGGGGATAGCAGAATAGAAAGATCCACTATTTCAGAGAGGGCAGGGAACTTTTCCCAGGTTACACAGCAACACAGGACCGAGTTGGTGGGGCTTTCAAACACAAAAGTAAACATTGGCCTTGTACCCCTATTTTGTATTTCCAGTTCTGACATTTGGGAAATTGCTTTCATTTACTTTGTGTTGGGTCCTCCCTGGAACAGAAAATGAGGCACAAGGTGAGGCTGGGAAGTGTAGCCAGTGGTGAGTCAGGGCCCAACAGCCCTCTGCTCCAGCCCGGGCCAGCCTGTGGCCTGCAGCCTCATTCTTTCACATACAAGGAACTCAATCATCCAGGTGCCCTCAGCTTGGGGAGCTCAGGAGAGGAAGGAAAAGCCCAGCCAGGGAAAATAAGCAGTTAAGTGCCCTGTGACACTGTTTAATTAACACACAATTGCACCTACTCAGGGCCCACAGAGTGGTATTTTAGGACACACATTGGATGCTGATCAGATCAGGGTGACTGGGGTGTCTCTCGCCTCAAGGCTTTATTGTTTGTGTTGGGAACATTCAGACTTCTCTCTGCATGCTATTCTGAAATACACCAGTTGCCAGCAGCCATGGGTGCTACAGAGCTAGAAAAGATTCCTCAAGTGTCACAGCAGCTTGCACAAGTTGCATCCTCTCCTCCCGGCCCCCTTGCCAACCTCTGGTAGCCACTGTTATACTCTCTGCTTCCTGAGAGGCTCTCTTTAGCTCTACTTCTGGGCAACACAGATATCAACAATTGGGAGTGGGGGTGGGGAGCAGAGTCCTGACCATTTAGGGAAGTGAGGTCAGCCATTGGAGCCAAGCCTCACTTTGCTGGCACATAATCCTGAGTGAGATGATCTTTAGATACAGCAAGCCCCTGAAGGACAAGAAGACCTCAGTACCTGGTGAAGAAAGGCTGGAGGGGGGGGGGCGCTCCGGGCCAGGGACAGAGACAGCAGAAAACCCACACTGCAGGCCCAGTGTGCTGGCGTTGGCCGCATCCAGGACCATTTAGGGAAATAGTCACACTCAGTACAGCCTTCCAGGGCAACTGCCAGGGATCTGGATGGTGACCCACAGCTGTCCTGTGAACAGAGTGACTTTGTAACCAGCGTTTGAGTCCCTTCGCACTCTCCTCCCAGCAGCATCGAGGCTCAGCTTGAAGAGCACAGATTTGGGAGCAGCAGATGGGCAGGGCTTCAAATTCTGCTCTCCCTTTATTGCACGATCATGGGCGGGTCGAGGCACCTCTCCAAGTCTCACGTTCCTAATCCACAAAAGGGAGTGATGCTGACACTGCCTCACTCACAGGCTTTTTGTGAGGATAGCACCACACTGGGTAGCAA